TGAAATGAAATGAGCATTTTTCTCAGGTCTCTGTGTGTAGCTTTGACAATTTCACTTTTATGGGAAAGAATGGGTTATTTTCATTCCCATGGACATTACGAGTGCTTCTTTGCACTCTATTTTAAGTCTAGACTTAGGACACATCTAATCTTTAGTGTGCATTGTTGTCGTAATATTATTATTCTTATTATTACTTTTATTGTACTGCTTTAGTTCTGCTGAAATAATTGAACAAACACTGGAGGCTTAGAAAAACTCTTCAAATGGAAAATCCTAATGAAGTGGTGTAATGTAATGTAATTGTAACATGTTTGATAAATGGGCAAAACTGATTTTTGGCAAAGTATAAGACATAAACTGAATTTTACGGTTAATACATTTTCTGTGATCCTTTAATATAGTATTTTATATGTGCGTATGACAAGAAAATTTACACTTGTTTTTGCACTGAGTGACATTTTCCCCTTTTTTTCTGTAAATCAGAGAGAGGACTTTAATAATAATAATTATACTAATTTATTGAATTCAAATGAAATAGGACGTATTCTATAAAAATACAAACAAAAAAAACATCATTACATCATTATTTTAATGCTCAACCTCTTTTTTTGTCCTAAATGTACAGTGCTCAGCATATATAACATATATACATTATGCATAAATACATTTTATGACTCTCAAATACAATATGGTGCAGTGCAAAATTAAAGCCTTTTCATAAAAAATGTATACAGAAAATATATATAGTATACTATATAAATTTGTTAATTAAACTGCAAGATCAATGTTAGCAATCCAAAATGTTTATGCAATAAAATATATGGGATTTAGTCAAACTAGATTATGCCTGTAAAATACAAATGTAAATTTGAAATACAGTTCTCAGCATATATAAGTACACCCCTCACAAATATATCTTTTAAATTCATATTTTTAATAGGAAGCTATACAGTATTATATCTGTGCATATACATTATATGAGTCAGTACTGAAGCCAAATCTGGAGCTTATCTAACAAAAGAACTTAAGATAACGCTCAAAAAACTAGAACACCCAAATTTATATGTTATAGAAAAATAATAAATACAGAGAAGAGAAGCATTTTAATTGCATTATACTTGAATTTTTAAAGATGCTTGGTGACTAAAATATTATTTGAATGAATATATCTGTTTAATAAATCGGTTTTGTTTAAATGTACCAAAATACATTGCCCATATTCACTGAGAAATGGATACAAATATTCATTTTTAAAAGGTGGTGAACTCAATTATGCTAAGCACTGTGAAGCATTGCATCTATTTTTATCTTTACCTGTAACTAAAAATAATCAGTGTTTTTGAGGATGCCAGGCCTGAAAATAATGTGTTAAAGAAACCCTTTGTGAATATACTTACAACTATGCAAAATTATAATTATGGGAATTTCTTTGTTGCAGTATAATGCACTGCTTCTTAAAAATGCTTTTGCTAGCATATTGCATTTGCTTAAAACCTGACGTTAAAATAAAAGTTCAAGTAATTAATTTGTTGGATCAATAGATTTATATATCGACAAGCACTATTCTACAAACAGTTTTAGGTTTGTCGATACAAAGTTAACTTGGAAAGTGCATAAAATTGACGATGTTAGCCACCAATAGCCATCTATTGTCTGTGTAAAACTGCAGGTTGTAAAACCAGAATCTCCAATTGGATTAGGATGTTTTCTCTGGCTTTGGGACGCGTTGAGTGACTGAAACCTAAAATATTGAAATTCCACAGAAGAGCAACAGGTGGTGTTACCTCAACCAAAAACGTACAAGAAAGAAAAAAAGTCACTGACGTCACACTTGAACTGCTGTTTTTTTACTGGCTCACGGCCTGATGCTGCAAAACCCCACTGTACGGCGTCAATATTGACTCGAGCCATTGTCGCAGGTCATTGTCACACACTTATTATACAATTAACCTTACTTTATGTGGAGGCTGAATATGGAGTGTGCCGGAGCTATTGTGCATGAGTCATTCTCATGTATGGGATCAGTCTCATTATAAGCAAGAGCAGGAGAATAAAGAGAGGAAACACACTGATGTCTCCTGGTGTTGTGTCGACAATCAAATCAAAATTTAAGTGGGGGCCTCGCTAGAGAGCTGTAGAGTCCAGAGAAAGCCTGAAAGAAGCCAAACATCATACATGCGAGAGACGCAGAGATTCAGAATGACAGATTGGATGGTCGGAGATAAAAGAGAGAGGAAAAAATGAAGTAGGGAGGTGGTGGTGGAGGGGGTGATCGAGAGAAAAGAAAGAGCGATGAACAGAGGGAGGGGAGGAGGACGGTGCTGGAAGAAAAGCTAGAGAGACAGCAAGGGGGGAAAAAAGGGGGTTCGAGAAGAAAGAAGAAAGTAAGAGAGAGAGGGCAGAGGAACAGGGGGGGTTGGTTAGTCGCTGGAGAAAGTTCTTAAGCTTTTTCAATGACAAGCAGATTGAAAGCCCCTCTATTCAGCAGCTCTCCGGCTTC